TGCCTGCAGCTGTTGCTGCCACTGAGGGCTGCCTTCAGAAAATGCGAGAAAGACTTTTGGAATTGTCACAGAGGCTCCGAGAATTAACCTGTTTGGAGTCCCAGAGCCCCAGGCAGTGGAAGTGTTTTATTTCAGAGAAATTTGTATGTGTTCTGAGGTCAGTTTCATCAGTCCTGACCTCCAGGTCTTTGAAAGAAACAGCTGCATCTTGGAGTTACTAGGAAATGAATTCCCAACAAGTCCTGAGTGTCGGGAGCATCCCTGGAATGATGGTACCTCTCCCTTGGAGCCTGCTAACATGTTCACTCACACACTGAGATATCCTAGAAGAAGGTCACCTTTCGGTTCTCTCCTCTTCCAGGCCAAGGCTGCAGGTGATGATGAGGCCATGTTCATAGATGAAAACTTCTGTACCGCCCTGGAATACGGGCTGCCCCCCACGGCTGGCTGGGGCATGGGCATTGACCGAGTCGCCATGTTTCTCACGGACTCCAACAACATCAAGGTATGTAGCAGCCCTCCACAGTGCACACTGCCCTAAAGAAGTTCATTGTGTTGGAGGCAGGACATGGTGGGCCTGGAGGATAAAATTAAGGAAGGGCTTTGGACAGGGAAGAGGAGCAGGCAGAGGAGTTCTATGCCACTCACAGGAGGGCCAGAGCCTCTGACATTAAAGGATTTGGGATTTTTCCTACCAGAGGCAGAAAGAATACTAATTGTTTGCATTTATGGAGGATCCAGGGAAGTCTCCATGCATTATTTCAGCTAATTAAGTCAGCCTATGAGGTGTAGAAACTTGCCCATTTTTATAGATGAGGAAACCAAATTTTAATAGCAATGTGTTTATTCATCCTTTTGATGTAGTGCCCTAGGCAGTGCTATCTATGCATTTGTTCTTTGTCATCTAACTGAGAGGGTCTGAGTTGAAATACAAGAACACGTGTCTTTTCAGCTGGAGTATACTCATCTCTGGATTTTGGTGGTAACAATAACAGAAGCCAAAGGAATAGGTAGATAACTGTGAAAAAATGTTCAGGGTGCTCCTTAGCTTCAAGGTACATTTCTATCTTCCACAGGAAGTACTTCTGTTTCCTGCCATGAAACCCGAAGACAAGAAGGAGAATGTAGCAGCCACTGATACGCTGGAAAGTACAGCAGTTGGCACGTCTGTCTAGAAAATAATAATTGCAAGTTGTATAACTCAGGCATCTTTGCATTTCTATAAAAGGTCAAGGTCTGCAAGGGAATTCTTGTGTGTGGCTTTCCACTTGACTGCTGCAGTTCGGTTCAGCCATCAGAAGAGAGGCAAGGAATTTAAAATGCCCTTTTAATCCTTGTTACCAAATAAACTATTTGTCCTCTCCTCTCTTTACCTTTAGAATGTCACCTTTTTTTTCCCAGACTGCTGGCCGAATGAATGTTTAGGATTCTACCATCTTACTCATTTAACAAATTTCTAAGGGATTCGGGATACAGCAGTGAACAAAAGCCAAGTTCCTGCTTTCATGGAACTTGTATTCTTTCTTTGGCGTAGGGAGGAGAAGTAGACAAACAAAAAGTAAATACATGTTCTTTTTAGTGGTGATACATATTAAGAAGTAAAATGGAGCAAGGTAAGGGGACAAAGGTGCTATTTTAGAGGAGGAGGGGACAGTACTACTTTAAATATGGTGGTCAGGAAGCCCGCTTCTAGGCATTTCAGTAGAGGTCTGCAGACTGAGCTGGAGAGATATGTGGGAAAAGGCCATTCAGGCTAAAGGACCACGTTTTTGAGGAATAGCGGATGGTCTGGTGTGATGGGACAGGGATGAGTGAAGGTCAGTGAGGGTCCAGATCACACAGGCCCCTGGAAGCCACACAGAGGAGCATGTGTTTTCTGAGGGAGATGAGATACCATGGAAGGGTTTTGAGCAGGGGAGTGTTTTTCTGGGATTATTCTAGTCTCTGGCGGACAAGAGGAAAGACAGCTGAGCAGTCCCCATGGGCTGAGGAAACAGTGGGTGGTAGCAGGGAAAGTGGTTACCAGTGATTGGACTTTGCCTGTGTTTCTGAGGGCAGAAGAATTTGATGATGGAATATGGGGTGTGAGAAAAGCCAAAACTGATTTCAAGGTTTTGGGCCTGAACAACTGGAAAAAAGTTGCCCTCCGCTGAGATGGGAAGAACAGGAAGTACAGATTTCAGAGGGAAGGTTGGAAGTTTGGTTTCGGACATGTTAAATTTGACATACCTGCTAGCCAGATGAAAATAGTGAGCAGAATGTTGAATAATCGATCTGAAGTTTTCTAATTATTTTCAGCTCCATTCATTAGGGCTAAGAATGTGACAAGAGTGTGGCTGAGGGTGTGCCGTGAAAGTGGAGCCCCTGTTTTCTGACACACAGAGACAGCTGGGGAGACCTTTTTTCAGGTGACTCAGTTGACAGAGGACTTACCTTCTGCACCTCAGCAAACCTCTGCAAGCATCCCAGTTTGGGAGCTACCAGTCTCCTTTTACAGAGTAGGTTTCTGTTTCTGTAGCTGGTAAGACAAACTAAGCATTCAGAATTACCTAACAGAACTACCTCAGGGAGTGCGGAACATCCCCACCCTTTCTTGGCATTTAAGCAGTAGATGACCAGGCAGCATTTCAGAAGAAATACTTTCAGATGGCACATCCTCAGAAAGTGAGTGGTAACTAAAATGGGAGATAATCGTCTCACCAAGGGAGGTGGTAGAAAGTCAAGGCCAGGTAAGGGGCTATAGGTTTCAGGCAGTACTATCAGTGCAGACCACTGAAAAAGGCTGCAAGGACTAATGATGTCATGAGTGACTTTACAGAACGGTTTAATGGAAGGCGATCTGACCTTAAGGAAGTTGGGGATAGAAAGGAACTGAGGCAGCAGTAGACAACTTGTATGTGGGGGTTGGCAGGAAAAATGACAGACAGTATGAAAACTAAAAGGGACAGAAGGGTCATAAAGTCCTCTCATTTCTTCAAACAGCTGCAGGCTCACAATTTGCTAACTATTATGCTGGGGTGAGCAGAAACAGGCATAGTCCCAAACTTCATCAATTTTCTAGACTTGTAAGAATAGATATGTAATAAATCATTCTCCAAAATTGTATAAATGGCAGCTCGGGTAAATGGTTTGAAGGAGAGGTCCATGGGGTATGGAGAAACTCTAATGGACCTAGTTAGAGATTTTCCTGAGGACATTAAATCTGAAGGGAAGAGTACTTTGCGTGGTATGGCAACAAGGGCAAAGACCCCGTGGTAGGAATGGGCATGGAGAAGACAGAGTATAGAAGCCCAAAAAAATATGGCACCAGGTGAGGCAGGAAGGGGCTGGCCATGAGGTCACTTGAGGTCTGGAGTTTGAGATCAGACTGGCCAACGTGGTAAAACCCCTTCTCTACCAAAAACACAAAAATTAGCTGGGCGTTGTAGCATGCACCTGTAAGCCCAACTACTTCGGAGGCTGAGGTAGGGGAATTGCTTGAACCTGGGAGGTGGAGGTTACAGTGAGCTAAGATTTCCCCCACTGCATTCTAGCCTGGGCAACTCCATCTTAAAAAAAAAAAAAAGTCCTGGGAATTCACTCACTCACTGAAGTATTATTTAAGCAGTAGGGTGACATCAGATTTTTGGTTTCAAAAGGTAAGTCTTGCTGCTCTGTGGAAAACGAATTGCAGTTAAGCAAGAAAAGGTGGAAAGTTCAGAGATCAATAGTGGCTTTTACTGGGATATTGGCATGGAAGAGGAGAGAAATGGATTTAACACCTAGGAAGAAAGATCAGCAGGACTTGGTAATGAATTGCACTAAGGAAGGGAAATAAGGAAGATGACTCACTTTTTAGTTTATGCAAATAGATTGATGGTAATACCAGTCCCTGAGATAAAGAACCCTAGAAGAAGGTCCTTTATGCCCCTTACCCCCACTGGAATATTTCTTTAAAGACAGAAGGGGCAGTCAGTTACAGATCAAAGATACTGGAGAAGAATGCAGAGCAGTCTGGCCTAGGAGGAGGGCCATAGCCAGGCCCATTTCCTTTGAACTAGAAAGAAGGATGGGGTTCAGCAAGTTGCATAAACTTCTGAGGGATAACAAAAATGAATAATTTTTAGCAATTGAAACATTCAGTTAGTGGGTGGCAGAGGCCCCTGAACTATCCAGACAACTATATTACATATTCCTGGCAATCCAAAGGTTTTTAGAACTGCTCTGTCCACTACATTGCAATAGTAGTGTACTACAGTAGCCAATTAGCCACATGTGGCTATCCAGCATCTGAAATGTGGCTAGTCCAAATTGGGTCATATTCTAAGTGTAACATACCAGATTTCTTAAACTTAGCATGAAAAACAACAGAACTTAAGTATTTTTTAAAATATTGAGACCGGGTGCTGTGGCTCACGCCTGTAACCCCAGCACTTTCGGAGCTTGAGGCAGTTCAAGACCAGTCTGGCCAACATCGCGAAAGCCCCATCTCTACTAAAAATAACAAAAATTAGCTGAGTGTGATGGCGAGCACCTGTAATACTAGCTACTCAGGAGGCTGAGGCAGGAGAATTGCCTGAGCCTGGGAGGTGGAGGATACAGTGAGCCGCGATCAGCCTGGGTGACAAAGCGAGAGTCCATCTCAAAAAAAATAAAATTTTACTTTATGTTGAAATAATATTTTGGATGTGTGGATTAAATAAAATATGTTTTTTTCTATTTTGACTTTTTAAATGAGGCTTTTGGAAATTTTTTATTACGTATTTGGTTTGAATTATATATCTATTGGACAGTGATGTTATAGATAGAATTCAGCCTAGTGCTGCAAGATACATCATTCTAGTTGAAGGCATATCTAAGCCAGCAGGCGGCTCCCATCATCCGGTTTCACGCATCCGTTAAGACCCTGCCCGGGCTGCGGGACTTGAAGCGCTGGAACAGCGGCCTTGGCACCGATCCCCCGGGAAAAACCACAAGGCCCGGCGTGCACTGCGCTCCTCTGGGACGGAAGCCGGAAGGAGTCGGCTCTTTGTGACGTCACGTCCGTGTCGCCCCCGGATTCGGATTGCTTTCTCTGAGGCGGGTGTCCTGGAGGTGGGAGGGAAGCGTCCGCGAGGCCTTGGGGCCGCGGGGCAGGTGCATCTGGGCTAACTTTACCAAGTCTGTTTTTTGAGGGAAGAGATTGTGAGGACCGTGGGTTCCGGGACGCGTGTCACGTGAGAAGGCGCTCCATGCCAGGAACTGTCAGGCACTTGGAGAGCTCTTGCTGCGGACGGGCGCGGGGCCTCTGGCCTAGTAGCCCGCAGGACCCAGTGGGACAGGCGCTCACGCTGTTCCCACTGCACGGCCTCGGTGCCTTGCCTGTCGCCTCCCGTCCTGTAACTGGCCTACTCGAGGTCCCACCCCGCCTTCTGCAGCGGCCGGGAAGGGGCTCTGCTTTCGGGAGTATTTAGGAAGGGAGCCAGCGTTAGGCAGGAGTCCCTTCCTCCGAGCATCGCTAAAGGCTTTTCTACCCTGGCAGCCGATTTCCTTTTCTTTGGAAAGAGCGTCAGTTTTTTAGCTTGTTGCAACTGTTCAGAGATGCAGTCTGTGGGCAAATAAATGCCTGTTTAACTGAGCTGTTATTTTCAGCTAAGAAGCTCTTCACGTTTTTCAGAATATAGGAGGGGGTGTAGACTCGAATTATAATGGATCCCATGTGGCAAAACATTTATTCATTTCAGCAGTTGTGCATGCTCATTCAGACTCAACTACCTGAATGAGATGATGTCGTTCTGGGCTGCTTCGTCTTAGGGAGTCATTGTTTCTTCTGGCAAGTTCTACCTGCCTTAGCTATTGAGGTTTGTGAATTGCACCTCTGGTTTAATTTCAGGTCGATGGCAAAGTGGTCTTTATAAAATATACTGCCTTGTGATGCTTCTCTAGAAATGAGAGGTGAGTCCCTTCCAAATGAGGATTCTGGGATCTCCTATGCTTTCTTTGCAGACGGTTGCTTTAAATCGCTATGGACTGATTCACCATTATCATTACCTACAGTAGCAAGCCTGCGCATTGCGATGCAGAGGGACTCATAGCAATACTTTTTTTTTTTTTTTTTTTGATACAGAACTTCGATCTGTCCCCAAGGCTGGAGTGCAGTAGCACGATCTGGGCTCTCTGCAACTTCTACCTCCCAGTTTCAAGTGATTCTCCTGCCTCAGCCTCCAGAGTAGCTGGGACTACAGGCATGCATCACCATGCCTGGCTAATTTTTGTATTTTTAGTAGAG